CTCTCTGTTCATCAAATGGAAAAAAATAAAAATGAAAAAATGAAGATTCCCCTAAATAAAAAGAACTGAGTGATATTTTTGTTTGAAGGTTGACATAGATCATAAAAGTCTGATTATAAATAGGTAAATATATGAATTTAATTTTGAGAGAATATTGGCCGAGAAAAATGGAGAAGAAAATTTTTTTAATCTTTGCTGCCAGAGCACTCTTACTTGGAATTCCAGCCAGATTTTTAAAGGACTGTGCTTCATCTTAGGTATATCGTATCACTGATTCTCTCTTTTTGAGGATTCAGTCTGAAAGGAATTGATATTGAGGTGTAAACTCAGCTGATGAAGAGTTTATCATTTGCCTAAGATTAGATGTTCAAGTCTCAACGTGAAAATCAACAAGAAAATAAGAATTTTCTCTCAAAGTGAGAAAAATGAAAGATTGCCCTGTTCTAATTTACTATTCTTATCTCTAACATTCGTCACGTCTAAACTAGTGGGACTCAATACAATTATTCTTTTCTTGTTGAATCCTGGAACTTATGTTTCTTGACAAATGATAATCCGTACATTCAAATCAACAACATTTTTCAAGCATTGAAATAGTGTCATTTTTAGATGAATTTCACTTCAAAACCAAATGACAACACTGTTTCCATCGAAAATTCGGATTCAAACACTGGATCTCTTAGAAATAAAGTGTTTTTTTTTAGAAGAAAGTCAGTGAAATGTTGGAAATAGTGCTTTGTGCTTTCAAAACCATTGTATTTGAATCAGCAATCAATTCATTCATTGTCAAGAAAGGAATATAGTGTTTTCTTAAAACGTCTTGAATTACGTATACCAATAGCTTTCCCGCGAAACGTGCTCTTCTTCACTATTTTTCAACACCTCACTTATGTGATTTTGAGCCTCTGAGATGCTGCTACATACAATTAATCTTCGTCCATTTAAATTCTCTCCAATTCTCGGGACTCAACTCTCACCCAGAAATGGATTGTGGTCTTTGATATCCTTAATAACAAGTGGACTCTGTAAATACTGTATCAATAGCGGAGCCTGAGATAGCAGTATGATGACTCTAAGATAAGAGCTGATTTTTTCCAATTGCTTTGCCAATGAAGAGAAATTCAAAGGCCTGATTTGATAGGTTTTAACGGTGGTGATCAATCCACAATTGGGTTACGTTTTTTCAACAAAAGTGAGTGTAGGTTTATCCCTTCAATGAAGTGGATACTTCAATTAAACGTAAAATACATCCTAAATTCGTTAATTAAATGATGATTCTAGCAACCGAGTTATTTAATATCAAATATACATAACATTAATAGTAAAGTAATGTTTTGAAATACAGAGAGCAGATCACCATTGTATTTTTTTTTTTTTTTTTTTTTTTTAGTGCTTTTATCAGACTTCTCCTTTTGACTCACACCCTGCTTTGACTTTGGTGACAGTTAAACTATTCTGACCAGCAGGCAGCTTAGACAAGAAAGCAAATAATCAAAATGGAGATGTGGGGCTTCAGTATTTTCAAACAGTTTTGGTGGCGTTGTAGCTAAAAAGGTGGTTGTGGATGGAACTAGATCTACTGAGTTCTGAATATATTCCGTAAACAATGGTAGGGATTCGAGCAAGTAGAGATTGGAAGAGACTGCAGTAAAGTCCACTCGATTGGCTCTGATTGTGATTGTCATAGTAGGCAGTTCATTTGAAATCCATTCCACTCATAATAAAATTATCGGTATTGACCAACAATTTTTCAAGTAGAAAGTACATGGTTGTCAGAGCCAATGGGCCAGTCGTGCTGGTTGTAGTCATGTAGTCTCATAACGTTTTAGTAAACGCTGTTTGTAGACCAATAGAATATAATGAGATTTGTCCTGCGGTCAAGTTTCTATGCCCAGTAATAATAGAGATATCCTGAATAAATCCAATCTGTGTATGATGTCTCCCAGCCAGTGACCTGCACTGAGCTGACATTGCTTAACGTCGTGTCTCCTTCCTTGGTTTCTCTCAGTGAGGCACATAATTGAACCAGTGCAAATATGGCCGACTGATCGATGAACCCAAGATGTACAATACTACAGTAAGCATGATCGCGGTGAAGAACTTCATATACATGTTTTCCTTGCAAGTATGTATCTCTCTGTTAATTCTGGATGCAGAAACTTGGGGTCCGAATACACCTTATTATTCATGACTACTCTGCAAGCCTCAAGCATTCATCCATTATCCATTGAGGGAAAGAAAGTGCGATGGCAAGGCATTGTGGTTTGTAGAAAAAACTAAACTGCCGAAGTATATATGAGCAGGGCCATTAGTACACCCACACAATGGGTCATTACGCTTTTATATTTCTTGGATTCACAGAAAAACCTACTTGTGGAGTAAGAATAGAAAGATCAACAAAATTAATGTTTGATAATATGTACCGTAGGTAATTCGAAGCGTTCATCTGAAATTACTTGCTGTTGTGTTTTTATTTTTTATATTTTTGAACAAGAAAATCAAAATGAAATTCGTATACATCTCTGCTTCAATCAATTCTGTCGCTTTAATGGCTTTTTATTTCTGCGCACATGGACAAACTAATTACCTTTCCTGCTCCCCGAGCTGCCAGTCGCAATGTAAGTTGTTGAGCACCGATTGGTTGGTTGTCTTGTATTGCGCATGCCCGATGTGATTTCCGCTTCTTTGCACTCCACTGCTGATGTATTAATGCTTCAGCGGATATGTTTTGTACAGTAGAACACTAATCATTCAGGTAATCAAGTTCTACTTTTCATATCATTTTCTCTTTTGTGCTCTTCTATCTATCGTCTTAGTAAACAAAATGACAGCCCTGTTTCTGTATTATATCGGTAACATTATCTCTTTGCAATTTATTTACTAAATGTCCCACTTTTATTATTTTTTCTCCTTTATCATGAAATTGTTAGTCACTGAAAGCAACCCTCTAAAATTATGCAAAAACCTCAAGAATTGCCAACATTAAACAAAACCCTCTTTTTAAATCGATGTCTGTTAAGTTCTGAGAAACTCATAACATTCTTTCCCTCACAAGTAATTTTCCAAATGCCCTGCACAAATTCGTCTTTATTTTTCTTACACAGAGGCATTCTTTGAATAACAATAGATAGAAGAGCATGTCTATCATTTTTTTTTATTACTTAATCTCTTTCTTTTACTTTTCCCAAGTTTTTTATTATTTTGAGTTTTATTAAAATCGTCCCTGTTGTTTAAATAAAAAGTTGACACAAATATTTTCAAGCAGACTTTTTTGAAGAATTGAAATTATTTGACTAAGCAATAGAACTAACGCAGTTTTTACTCAATTTATTATTACTCGTACTGTGAACGGACATATCAACACTCTTAACTTGTCGAATTGGTCATCTATTTTATCCTAAAAGTTGCGCTGGTATCATCAATAAAGTTCATACATACTCTCAAAATTGAAACAATAGAAAAGAAGAAGAAAGCTAGTCAGTTTGAGTCAGTGCAGTTCTGATATGCCCCTTCACTGTGGTAATGATAAAATCACCATCGTAGCTTAAACGTCTCTAAATTTTTAATAATCAAAACGAGATTGAATTTAAACTTGAATATTTTCCAAATTGTAGCCTATCTTAAAAAAATTTTCTACTCTTGTTTGAATTCTGACAAACACTCGTCAGTTATGAATTCCATTATCCCACAGAATTATAAAGGCAGTTTTCATTATTAGTGTAAAAGCAGATTTTTGTCACCAAATTCTTTTATCGATGGTGAAACTAAAAAAAAATGCAAATCCGGAATCAGTATTTAAAATTTTTCATTTCGTGTTCCATCTTTTATAAAGCACACTGAACAATCTCAATCCAACTTTTCATGAGATATTCTTGAAATAAAAAATGAGGGACTCAAAATTTCGTTCCACGTCATGCTGTGCAATGCTGTCCATTGAAAAGTAAACTCTGTGTGAGTTCTTTTTTCTAGTTTCGCCATAGATACATCAAATCATTTATGTAATTTAGTCCAATTACGGCAAATAATGCCTCATTAAGGTAGAACCTTTTCAGTCCAGTTTGGAAGTTCAAGCAACTATGTACTAATATTTTAAATTATTTGAATACTCTAACTATCTCTCTCCACGAGTGAAGCGTATTTATTGCGGCTTACTTAAAATGAAATAGAGCAGTTGTTGTGTGGGTGGTAGTGTGCGCAAGTCTAGAGCTTCGTGAATGAGTGAAGTTATTGCTATTAGGCTCTCCCTTAATCTCCAAGATTGCTCATTACCTAATTTTGCACTATTTTTAGGGGCCAAATATGTTTAGAATTAAACTCATTTGTTTTTTTACTGCCTTTCTCAAGGGTCCCGAAAATTGTTAGCATTCAGGTATGATTTTGCTGACAAGGCTCCACAACTTTTTTTCCCCTTGCCAAACTAATTCTAAGTAAAACAAGTTTCATCTTCCATGATGATTTAATTTGCGGAACACATTTTTTTTATTCGTCTTTTTTAATTTCACGCCTCAAAATAACTAATCTTGTGATAACAACCCCCTGCCCTGCCCCAATTTTTTTTCTGATCCTTTTGATTTGACCATAAAAGCATGGTGTGTTTAATAACTACATGATATACCATGTTCTTTTTATCTCTTCAATCCTAAACTAAAATCTGTGTGGTCATTCGTATAAAAATTAAATTCTTAATCCCTTAAAGTTTGGATGTCATTGTGTGACCTATTTGATCATATATTTGGTTGAGTAGAGACTCATGTACCCACACATACAATTGCTTGGTTTCATTAAATAAGCCTCAAGGTCTGATTAGAGTATAAATACTTTGAATTGTCCAAAGCAGCTTTGAAAATTGGGACCTTTGTCCTGACATGAGAATGAAATTGTGACATTCTGCTAAAACTAAACTAAGATATCTATTTTCTCACTCTAATTTAAGTCTCTGTAAGTTACCTATTCATATTTCAAATTTTAGATTTTAATTTGTCTTCATTTTTTCATTGCAGTTACAGGACATCCCCCTGGAGTTCCTCGATTTTAGGCTACAACTGTGATTCGTTGGACGTATCTAGTTTTTCATCTCCAGTCAGGTAACTATTATGCTCTTATTTCTCAATGTCAATTACTATTGTTTTGATGAATGTGGCTGGCAGGTGTACAAAAATAAATATGACCCGTTCAAATTATCACATTTTACATAGGTTGTATCTTTGGATATTTCCTTTCATGCTGGTTTTATTGGTGATGCACGGAGATTGCAGTGCTAATGTGTACATCAAAATGTCACCATATTTTTTGAAGCAGGATGTCTCCTTTCATATTGAACTCAGAAATGTAGAGCTTTGACCTGTCTCGTCATTTCCTGCTGATCTTGACAATTCAACCATCAAAGCATAATTTTGTGACCACTGTTACCAACTCATTCTCTGAAATTAATTGAATCTCTTTCAGTGAAAGTCGGTTTAAAATGAATATTATTGGTAAAACCCTCACGCACTTCCAAAAATAATGCAATGATCTGTTTATTGAGTAGAGAAAGAGATAATCTTTTAATTGTGTGGCAGATAAAATCTTCAGCCAGAAAATGTAATCCGAAAGAGCCTCTTCAGATGTATATCTGCAAAATCGTAGGAGTTTCTGCAGAGATATGTTTGGTGGCACTCTATAGACTCTTGGGGATTTAAAAAAAAAAAAAAAAACAAGCAGGGAATTCCAACACTCAGTTTTAAAGGCGCGCCGTAAGAATATGTCTATATTATCAAATTCAGTGTTATGCTTTTGTCATAAGTTTTCCAATGGGGCATAAGCGCCTTAAATATTATCATCATAAATTCAGTTAAAGGTTGCCTGAGTTTTATATCTAGACAAATATTTTCAAATATTCCGTTCAAAATCGGATAAAAATAGGGGAACAGTGAAGGCGCGTTTAGACGGCATGTGGGGCTTCACAATATCAATGAAATCCACACTAGCTGTGTGCAGAATTTTGGGGAAACAATTACATGTTTGGAATGCAGCTCGCCCAGCTGTCTAGACGCGCTTTAAGAGTCCCCCTACGAAACCCAGTTCCTTTAGCTTGACCTAAATATTGCTCATGGAGGCTGAAGGCAAGAATTATTTATCATGATGCAAAAATTCGAATACGTTTCCATCACGAAAACGGCTCCAAAATAACCTACGATTCAATAGGATTCGAATGCATGCATCGATTTGCCTAGCTCTCGGCAATCACCATAAAGCGTGCTATATGCATGGCGCGCTAAAAAAAGGCCTCAACTTTGCCTTTCATATTCTTTTATTATTTTTATAACTGACAGCTTGCTTCATGCCTCGTGATTTCATTTTTCAGGCAGGGAGTTTTGTATCTCCTTTTTTTCTTCTAAGGCTGTGACTTAAATAACGTCTACGATGAAGATATTTTAGTATATTGACCGTCTTTACTCACTCAGCAAGTGCCACATCTCTTTACTATCTTGTAAGTAACTAATTTTAATTAAATACAAATAAAACAAAAAAAATTATATGTAAATTTATTTATTCATACAAAGAGATATAAATATGTATGTATAGCGTAATTGTAATTTGTTAAGTATAATCAGAAATTGTAGTATTATAATTTTTAGGTTCTAGGTTATTTATGAGAAGTTCCTTCTTGTAGTGATTGACTGACCTTTGACCTTTTGTTGCAAGTATTAATCAAAGGAATTTTGTGTAAACTATTTGTAAATAGGGAATTTGTAATGCAAAGTTGTTTCTCCCCAGTGTAACTGAAGATATTGTCATGTAGCATGCAGATGCATCTTAATTTATTTTATTTTTTTCTTTTATCTTCTTTTTAACTTTTCTGATATGAACACGGTGTAAAACTCCAAGTTTCAATCAGTTGACAGTTCAGTCTGTATAAAATGAGTCATAGGAAATTGATTAAGGCACACTGAGGGCCTATCTAGGGTAATTCACTGTAGACCTTTCCCAGTCTTGTTTTTTTAAAAATGTTAAATCTCTTTAGTCAAAATTACTGTTAATCAAAGGAAAGAGCAATTTTTTTGAAGGAAAGAACTTCTTCAACAGATTTATCAAATTCAAATGTTACTGTTTCAAGCATTACGTCCAGCAATCTTGTGAGTCATTCATCACACATTTGTAAAATATCCAAAGATATTGGCATTAGTTTGAATGGGAAGAAGAAAATATCAAATCCCCTGTCGTCTCAAAAAGTTAGCCAGCTTATTTGGCATGGGTTCTAAGAGAATCTTAACGGAAATAAAAGGATTTCTACAAAAAGTGCAGTCAAACAAAAAAATTGCTCTGTCTTTTTGCGCAAGGTTTGATTCTTTGAACAAATCGTCTCACAGGATACATTCCATTCCTCTAAATGTATGTTTCTTATAAAATTGTATGCATGAAAATACTCAGCAGTCACATTTCAGTATGATAATTATTTATTTGAGAAACTATCCTTTCATGAAGACTTTAACTCATCGAGAAATTTTCTCCAAAATCATCACTTTCAAATGACATTCAAGTTCACATTCGCATTAAATTTGCTAGAGTCTTGATTTTATTTTCGGTCACTCTTTTTGGTGTACCTCCAGATCTAAAACTATATAGAATGAAAGGAAACATTCCCCCCTCCCTCCCATCAATTTCTCAGTAAAATTTCAGTTATCATTTGTTCTCCCACAAGTCCAACCAACAAATGAAAGAGAGAGAAAAATCTCTGCTCTCTCCCTGTGTTCACTTTTTCTCAAATCAGCCACTTTAGTAGAAAATGCGTCAGCTCTGTTTAGGAGATAATACTATATGATTACTTAATTCTAAAATTTGTTGAAGTTTAATTCAATTATTTTTTCATTCTTTCTTATTATTTTCTTTTCCTATTGAGTATTTAGATTTCTTAGCAAAATTTAAAAATTAATAATAAATGCTGACTGAGAAATTCAGTTCTGCTCAATGTATTTAAACAAACTAACAAGAAAATTTTCAAACATCATTTGACTGATATCTTGCTTTCCTGGATTTTTATCTCTTCACTCGCAAGTACTCATTTTGTTTTTAAATCTTTTTTCTGAGTGGGCCTATTAGTAAGTGCATTAACAATCAATGGAAAGGTAGGTTTATGTATTCATTAATTTATTTGATGTACTTTTATTTTTACTTTTTTGTAAGAAAAGAAGAAAAAAACAAGGAAACAAACTAGTTGCTTTTCTCTACAGTGATCATAAGATGATGTAGACTCAATTAAATCTGCATCACAATCAAAGTCATTTCAGGTGTAGCTTTTATGTTCATGGAGCCTTGATGTACCGTTTAAATTTAAAATTGAAGGAAAAAGAGTTTTTCAATTGCATTCCAATGTTCTACTTTCTCTGTTGATGCTCACTCCTTTTCACTCAAAAACTCACAATTAACCTCAAAAGCAGCACTCTAAACCAAACTAAGATGCTCTTTTGATGGTAGTTTCCAAACGAAAGGTGCATAGTTGAACTAGACATTGCTGTAAACATTTTTTCTCTTGTGGGAAGAGGCTCTTTTAACATGTATTTCTCGTACAATACCATAAAAAGGAAAAAACCTTACTTTCTTTCATTTTTTTCTAAATTTTTGAGACTTAACACAGGCTGTCCCAAAGTCTTGCCTTTAACGGGCATGGGGAATGACCCTAATTCCCATCTTGTCCATGAACACCTGAGTTACACTTGAGATGTGGTAACTCATAAGATTAGTAATGAGATGATGCCTCTTTAACTGGACTTCTGTATCGATGGCTAAAGTGTGCAATGGCGTGTGTATCTCCATTGCAATGTTTCAAAATTATTGCTCCTATTTTGTTTTTCAAAGAGGAACAAACCAACTTAACAACTAGAAGTTTACACAGAATATTCTGCTAACACGGAAGAATATTTTCTAGAAATTACGTCAAGTGGTTTTTCCAAGTTTGACAGGAAGTTTGCAACGCCTCAAACAAAGATACACGGTTTCACACTTTGACCATCGATAGCTTTAATCTCTCGCTCAGAATTACAATCAATGCACCCCTTTTGAGATTACCTATGAATTGTAAGAATCATTCAGAAATCTTGTTAATACATCTCACCATTTTTTGCTCTGATTCCTCAGTATGAAATATGAGCAGCTTCATATATATTCTCTTGACAAAATTTTGGTTTACCGTTTTTCAGTATTCAAGATATTGATCGTGATCAATTAATATCTATGTTTTTCCCCCCTCTATTTCTTTTTTGTTATAATATGGTTGAAATATTCTTTCACAAGTAGGAATCAGCTCCTTTGTGAAAAATATTCCAATTTTTATGAAAAATTAGAATATTTATTTGTCAAATTTTAACCAAACTAAGAAAGGCTGAAAGAAGAATTTATTGATCATCTGTTTTCTCTGATTTGCACCCTTTGTACCTTTTTCTCCTATTTAATTTTAGACTTCTTCAAACTTATACTTTGTGTTGTGCAACCACCAATAGTTCTTTTTTTTTATTATTTTTTATTTAATCATTCTTCCTTCTCGTGTATTTAGTGAGAGACTATGAAGCTCCAATTTTTTTTTCTAAATATTCTTGTAATTATATAGTAGGATTTATTATCTAATTTGTATTATATATTTGTATCAAACCAACAAAATAAAAGAAGAAAAAATAGGAAAAAGAAAATGTAAGAAGTGCCTCTATTATCTGATTTGATAAGTATTGCTGTTCATTTATTTCTGTTTACCATAATCCAGTTTTTCTTAACTTTTATTCTTTGTCTCCTTAATATTTTAAGACCATGTAGATTTCACATTGTCATTTGGATGAAAGTTGTGATTTTGACTTTGCACACAGTTTTTTTCTTCTCTCTCTTTCTACAGATCGATTGGGAACTGGGTTTTTTTTTTTTTTTTTGTGATCCGTTTTAAGTATTATATTACTATTAAGTTTCGAATTGATCGATCAGAAAACCTTTAGAATTAAAAAAGGAAAAAGTGTACCAAAGGACTCCAGCTAACACTTGAGATTTCAATGAAAACAATTTAGGTATTGTAAGTAATTAAGTAAATGTAGAGCCTTTAAATTTGGAAATGTGCGGGGGTAAATTTTTCTCATTCTCAGAATGCGTGTAACTTTAATCATCCTATTTTTGAAAGAAACCTTGAGCATGACACTGTTCATTAAAAGTGAAAGTAGAAGAACACATATTAATTTAAATTTTGCTGTAATGCAAATTTTCCAGGAAAAGAAAAAAAAAGAATGCATAGAGAAGCAAAACTACATGTACAAAAATTGTGCAATCATGATGAGTAATCATCTTTTGAAAAGGAAATCTGTAACTACGCAAACTGAGAAGTGTGTTTTACTCGTACACAGCACATAACTTCTTTTTACAAATTCCAATTAATTTAGTAATTAATCAATGAAGACTCCATAATTTAGGTCTGTAAAAAATATCAAGGGTGTGGTTTTACACAGTTAAGTAGAGACGAAAAAGCACCAAGAAACTAATGTTCTGAAGGGAAGGGGTAGATCCTTTATTTTACCTCCAGAGTAGGGCAAGGGGTAGAGAAGTAAAAAAAATAGTGATAAAATCATCATTTTCCAGCCCCAAAATTAATCAATAGCCTCTCAAAGTCAGATGGGCTGGATCTTCCCCCGGAATGACTAAATTCTGAAGCCTTGTCCAAGTTGTGCAATTCATTGGTCCAACATACCAACCGGTGACTTGGATTTCCTCAAGTGTCTACCACTGTCTTTCATATTCAACAATTTACTGTCTAAAAAAGCACTGATTGGTTCAAGTAAACTGTAATTTTCTTAATTTTCTCTTAGGTTAATGATCAGGAATCCTCTGAAAGGCAAGAATGAATTGAAAACCATTCAAACATGTACAGGCCATATTTTTGCAGCTTCTTTTAATTACTATCATACATTTAAGACAAATTCAAGAGGAGTGTTGTGATCAAAATGATTTTAATTTTCAGTTTCAAAATTTTAAATCGTGAACTTAAATTTCCGCGAAGGTTCATCAGTAAATTTTCAAGCAATCATATGTAGTAAGTATGTATTGATGCAAATAGAAACTAGATGAAGAGAACAAACTTATTCAAAATTTCTATGAATATCCTGAAACTCTGTAACACTACCACGACATCTTCAATTTCATTGGTTTTGCTCGAATTCTTCAAATAAAATGTCATTATTTCAGTTAGAACTGTCGCTGAATCAAATGGCTGACTTTTAAAGTGCAACAAAAGATCTACAGTCCTCATTTCCTCGTTGGTTCTGTTAATAAATTCAATATTGTAGATGGTGAATCTTTTGACCCACTTTAAGACTCTACCTTCAATTTGGTATGATTTTAACATGTTCAACTCCTGGAATATAAGGTAATAAAGTCGCTGGAATCATGTGGAATTTTTACAAATTAGCTATACCTACCTGACTAATTATTACTGAACAAATTTTGTGATTCAGAATCATTATTTTTTTTTTTTTGAAGTGGAAAGATATCTTAAATTTATACTGTTTTAAATTTTTCAAGTGGCTCTTCATTGTATTCTTAAGAGGAAAACGAAACATTAAATTCATAAGTGACTCTTAATATTCTTCATAAAAGATATGTATGCTCTGATTCCTGTTTTCAGAGCTTTTGAACTAAAAAAAATATTAAAACATTAAAAAAATGTATAATAATAACAATTAAAAAAATGATACGCGTTTCCAAATTTCTTTATTTCAGTTTCGGTTTCATTTTTGTACTTTTTAAGGGAAGGAAAACTGGTGGATCAAGCAGTATGGATGCATATTTGAAGACTGAGGAAAGACATTTTTGCTCGATTCATTTGAGTCATTTTTATAAAAATTAAAATCTTGAAACTAGTCCATTTAGACCTGCACTTAGTGCATGAAACCATTCAATACAAGTTCGTAAGTGATGTATTGAATTGAGATGTCGTAAAATTTAGGCAAAGCCTTCACAATTCAAATGTAACAATAAACTCTATCCTCTTTTGTAATTTTAAGTTTTTGCTCTCTACACTTAAAAATAAGTTTAAACGTATACTTTATACTATTGAATTTTTTATTCATCTTCTTTCTCTCATTTAACCTAGCCTTTGTTGTCAGGTAATAAGTTTTCATCTTTTCTTACATTCAGCTGGAAGGCTAGGGAACGAAACGTGATAGTTTGCTGGTTTGATTTATCAATTTTTATTTACCAGTGTTGTACGTTGTAAGTTTGGAATTTTATTCCAGTTGTTAATGCCGGTTCTACCGCAAATTTTTGCTGGTTTTAATGCAATTTTTTTTTCTTTTTTTTATGAAGTGTTTGAGGGTTTGTGCAATTTTTCAAATTTGATACATAAGAAGAAACTCAGTCTGTCATATCGGCACTCTTCTAATGTAAAGGCGTATCTCTATTTCAACATGAGCCTGGAAACACATGGAGTTGTATGGAAAATAGAACTCTACTCAAAAAGCAGTTACGCCCTTATGTCAGAGGAGCGGCGATGTGTCAAATAAAAATGGAAATTTCTTCGGCGTTATCTACTTACTAATTTATTTTTTATTATTTTCCATTTCAATCTGTTTTTGGTTTTATTTTACAGTTTATTTATTCATTTAATTTTTGGGGGGGGGGAGATTTTGGAGACAGAAAATTGATTGATACTCGGTCTTAAAATTATTGTCGAACACATCGCAAAAAAGCAGATAAATTTTCGTATTCAACGGTGTACCATATCAAAGGAACAAACAAACATAAACTAAAAATATTGGTTTCCTTTGCAAGAATTTTCGCACGAATTGATAAATTTAGTCGTTTGCATGATGTTTATTTTTAGTTTCCAGTTCTTGGCATTAGGAAGTAATTGAGGTCCACACGTAATTTTACTCTTAGATCATCTTTTTTTTTTTTGAAATTTTAAATTAATTTTGTTGATTTCTTTGAATATGGTTTATTTTGTTTTATTTTGATTTATATATTTTTAATGATACCACATCTCTGTTACTCAATTGTAGAATGTAATTATTATATTTTTTACTTGTTGTATTTTATTTTAAAATTGATGTTTATTGAATTAATCATTTTTTAGTCCTAAGTTTTTTTTTTTACAACAGAAAATGCCGTTTAAATTAAAAAATTATAAACTTAGTCCAGACCTCTCGTCCAACTTAAATTTTCTTTCTTTTTTTTTCTTTGACCTGAAATAATAAAATCCTGAACCAGTTTTTTATCCATTCATTTATTTTCTTGTTTTATTTTATATTTTGAAACTGTTTGGCTTCATAACTTTACTTTGCTAAATTAGTAGCCCTTTCATCACTTACTGATACTTGTGTTAAATAATTTGAGTCATCAATCTTCTTTTACAAAGATCTTGCGTTCATGAAAATTTCATGCACTGCCATCATTAAATTTTTTTACCAGTAATTAGAGAAAGAAAATATGCAGTCGGATGGTTTCTTACGAATTGTTTCGGGGGCAAGGAATACTTCGTGAAGGTTTTTTGTCACATTCCCGTATTGAAGATCATATCTACTTACTCGGCTAGCATAAAACAACAAGAATTTAATGAATGAAGGAAAATGACTATGAATTTTAAAACTTAGCTTTAGCTACCGTTGAAGTCTTCACTGATTATTTATCCAGTGTCAATGTCATTTTCGGATCTCAGAGTTATACCAAGAAAATGAATGATAGTAATAAATAAAAATAATAAAACTAAAGGAATGAACGAAATAAAAAAGGGAGTCAATTCTGTATTGCGCTTTTTTCTTTTTTCTTCTCCTATTTCATCACTTCTAATTGTCTGTCAGAAATCAGTTCTTAATTGAAATTTTCATCAATTCATTTGTGCATAAATCATGAAGCGATAGTAAAAATTCCTGTAGCAGTGTCCCAGTCAAAGAAATCATGATAAAGAAATGAAGGACCAGATTGTGGTTTTATCCATGAGTCATTCAAACGGAGTGACAGTGACTTTACAGTTGGGAATTAAATTTCTGTATAAGACTGAAAAGCTCTTCAAAGAGGGAAATAGCCCATTTGAACACAATTTTCTCTCATGGACTCATGCCGTTTGGTGCCTAAATAATTATGACGGATCAGAAAGGCAGCTGTGAACAAGTTTCACTATCGCCTTCCTGATCAGTCTTAACTAAAGGTGCACTAAGCGGCATATCATACATGGTTCAATTTTGCTCTAGTAAGCATTTTCCTTCCTTCACGAAAATTGCAGTTTTTTACCAAATTTTAATACACTGTTGCAAAGTTACCATCTCTCTATCTAAATAAATGAAGCAAAAAACAGTACCGAGTGGACAAATTTGCCCCCCTCCCCCCTCCCTCCCTTACTCACCATTAAGGGAGACCTTCATACCAATCATACATCAGTACATGCAATTTATTTTCAAATTCAAAAATTCTTTGCAGGCAACTTACCCACAGAGTACGTATTGGTGATGATTAAATTTAGTACTGAGTAGACAATCTTGTGCATTTTTTGTGGTACTTTTTTCCATCATTTGTTGATGAGTGATTTTTGCTTTTCAGCAAATAATAATAACTTTGATCTAATTGTCAAATCTAAGTATTAAAGTAATGTGCTCTTTTTGAAGATAAGTGATGACGCGTCATCCGCTGTTGATGTAATCCATGATATCCTCCACAACATCAGTGACATCAATGCAACCAGCTAGAATGAATCGCATCGACTGTAAAACTCCCAAGCCACATTTCGGTTTGCAATCTCCAAAGTGAAAAACTACTCAAGTTAATTTTCTTTAAACTTCTGTGATTTTTCCCTTCAGTGAGAAGAAAATTCTGTGAACACCTCCGGGAATGATGTTGATTTGTTCTCCTTCAAAAGAATAAAATGGGAGCAGAGATTTTAAAACACTGCAAACAAGATATGTGGTTTTTGGAGTTTTACCGTCAATATTTTGATGAAATCGTGCTAGGAGGAATCTTTGTATATGCATTCACGTACAAATTGATGATGAAACTAGTAAGTTACACTTCCCCTCAAAAATTAAAATATGATGGGAGACTTGTGAAGTGGCAAATCAAGGCAATTTTTTTCCATTTATTTATTTATTTATTTAGCTTTGCATTGAAATGTTTGATGATGCCTCTGTTTTGCACATCAAAACATGATTATGCACAGGGTGATTTGAAAATCCTGCACCATCAAGCATTAACCTCGTAACTTTTGATCAGATTCAGATAGAGACTTGAAATTTTGTTAGTGCTCCTAGATCAAAGAATTCTATCTTTGGCAACCCCCCAAAATTCCAAGGGAATCATCCTGAAAAGGGGTAAGAACCCTGGGGGGTTATGAAGATGGTGCAGGACTCTTGAATCACCCTGTATGTGTCACTTGTGCAACCTGATTTATAATTAAATTTATAATTCATTGAGTATTCCGGTACATAACCACCTCTACTTTCGGGTGGTAGTAGGGCAAACCTAGACGGTTACTGCTGTAATGATTTTCAAAACTGTTGCGTTCGGTTTTAGTCCTTGAGAAAGTCTGGAGTCTGGAGTATTGATTAGTTCTTACTATCTAAAAACTTGGTAAATTCACTCTTGTGTTCTGTACCATTTTTTTTTCATCTCCTCCCCTCGCCCTCTTCTTTTGTGCGTTTGTATCATAAAAGAAAGATCAATAGAAATATTTTACTAACTGTACATATTTCCTCTATATTTTTGGAATTCCCTTAATATTCCTTCGTTTTCATACCCATACAGGTATGTGTGTATGTACATGTTGTGGATAGTTAAATATTGCATTGTACAGTCAGAGCAGTTGACCATTCATACTTTTATTTTCATCAGATTGGAACGTGAAATGTAATTTTCAATGAATATACGGTCAGTGTGTATATTCTTTTATTTTTTATATCTTTTCGGAAATTGACATTGCCCCTTTTCCCTGGTAATTAAAGTGAAGTGGATTGTCCATAATAGTTTTTGTTGTGGTGCGTTAATAAGTTTAAATATACTAATACTGTATCAATGAAAGAAGGGTCATGAGGACATTTTGTGAAATCAGCAGATGGCAAACACTTGATGAATATGACAAATTTACTTGTAACTCATTTAATATTATCAGGTGAACGTTCTTCAACTGCATCTCAGTCGTTTTTGCACCATACTATACAGATATATGTTTAGTCCCCCTTCTTTGAAAGTTTAAGATTCACAATTACAAATCATCACGATCAACTCAGAACATGTTATATCTTAATATTAATTATTAATTTTTGTGATATTCCTAGTAAACAAACGTTTATTACTGTATTATTTTATTGATAATAACAATAAATATTGTTATATTTTAAGTCATTATAATAATTCTGTATCTATTAACTGTATATCGTAATGTGTTTGTACAAAGAACGTGTACATGTACCTATACATTGTTTGTTTAGTTGATTTCATTAAACCTATGTTCAAATACATGGAGAATATATTTTACTTTTACTTCTATTTCATCTTCTTCTTTACCCCTCTCTGACATAAAAAGATAACTTTGGAAGAAGTTATAAAAGGAATGGAAAATGATAAATGTAAGGAAATGCTAAAATTTATAACAGTGTGTGAGAAAACTTGGAATACGTATTTTGGGCTCAATAAAGAGGTATTCTAGTTCAGAATCAACGTATTATTTTTCCAACAGATCCGTTTTAAATTTTTTTGGTGAAAAAAACTTATTAAAGAAAAACGAATGTTGAAAGGGTTGCATAACTTGCTGTTCGATACTTTTTTTTTTTGTAAAGTTTTAAATCTTGAATGAAAAAGTGCAATCTTAAGTCAACATGCCCTAGAAACTTTGAATTAACAAAGTACTGCCTTCATTGCATCCTACACATCATGTTCACGACATCACTGAAAAAAAAAGGATTGCTAATTCACCGATTTAGGGTGGAGCAAAATTTGCTTCACTTCGTAAAGCTTTCTTTTCCGTGCACGGTGTTGAATCAAGTGAACGACTAGCACGAATTGCTACACCAATTTGCTACATCTGCGCGCATTCATGCAGTTAATCTTGCATCGAGTGGCTTGGAAGTGTAATTGCATTTTTTGGTATTGGTACTTTTCGAACAGTATAAAAATAGCTCAATAGCTAGGCTGAAATAGCGGAATTTACGGAAAAATAGCGAAATTTACGGAAGAATAACTAAAAAGGTAACAGATGACATAGCTTTTCAGAGAGCAAAATCACCTACATGGGTGTGTGTAAGTTAGCTGTAATTTGTGTAGCGATTTTACCTGCATGGTTTGCACGTTCGTTTTTTAGCCACACCATGCCATGAAATACCCGCGTGCACGGCAATTTCAGCAATATTTTTTTTTCAGTGTAAATAAAGATGAATTTTTTCCAGTCTTACATAAAAATATGAATCTGCATTTTCTTCTTTTCATCCTGAACATCTTGAATAATTATGAGACGTGGCCATGCTTGGAAGAAACCTCTGCCTGCTTTCAATTCTTGAACTATGAAATTCTTATTCTTTTCCTAAAAAGAAACCAAACAAAAACGATGGCCTCCAGCCGACGATGTTGGAATTTAACACTAAAGAGCCTTGGCTTTAAGTATGATTAATCTCCACATTTTCTTTCCTGTCCGAAATCGAGAAAAATTGATAGGGGTATGTACAATGCACATGGACTAAAGAGCCTCCCAAAATAAGGGCTGACTTTCGCCCCTTTTTCGGTATTTGATTCAACCATCGAACCAAGGTTTAAGTGGAAGCTTATAATAACAGAAAACTCAGGAAAAAATTTCAAGATGAGTTTACTAACCGTTTTCGAGTTACAAGGGGGGGGGGGGCAAAGGGGTCAAACTCTTACCTTATTTTTCGCTATTTTCTTGTTGAATTGAAGAGCCGTGAAGTTCTTGTGAAGTGAAGAAATGCAACGGAAGATTGCAATTGAAATAAGCCTTCATGCACGCTGGCCTTTTCGATTTTCGTTAACATTTTTTGTAGTCATGAATGCGCTTAAGTGCGCTTCAGCTAGAATTGTATTTAGCAAATGGGTGGTTTTTATAAGAGGATTATGAATAAGCAAGTGGTTAGAAACGGAAACAAAATAATATGAACTATGCAAAACGATCCTTCCCATAACGGAACTTGGCTGTTTTGAAAACGCCTTCAAATACGGCGTGATACCTCACGCATTCCGGAGAGTTCAAATAGTTGTATCATTGCGCCTTAGAAATGCGACGGAACATTGCAATTGAAATGGCCTTCATGCACGCTGGGCGTGTCGATTTCCTTTGACATTTTTGCAGTGGTGAATGCATAGCTGAAGTGCGCTTCAGCTAGAATTAAATATATCAAATGGGTAATTTTTATAGGAGGATTATAAATAAACAAGTGGTTAGAAATGAAAACAAAATACTATGAACCATGCAAAATTGCAAAACAGTGATTCAGATAGGTATCGGAACTTGGCTGTTTTGAAAACGCTTTCGAATGTGGCGTGATACATCACGCATTCCGGAGAGTTCAAATAGTTGTTTCATCGCGCCGTAAGAATGTGACGGAAGATTTAAACGGAGATAGCCTCCATGCACGCTGCGCTTGTCGATTTCCTTTGACATTTTTGCAGCGGTGAGTGCATAGCTGAAGTGCGCTTCAGCTAGAATTGTATTTAGCAAATGGGTAATTTTCATAGGAGGATTATAATTAAACAAGTGGTTAGAGATGGAAACAAAATTATATGAACTATGCAAAACGATTCTTCCGATAACGGAATTTGGCTGTTTTGAAAACGCCTTCATATACGGCGTGATACCTATCGCATTCCGGAGAGTTTAAATAGTTGTATCATTGCGCCTTAGAAATGCGACGGAAGATAGCAATTGAAATGGCCTTCATGCACGCTGGCCTTTTCGATTTTCGTTAATATTTTTGCAGTCATGAATGCGCTTAAGTGCGCTTCAGCTAGATTTGTATTTAGCAAATGAGTGGTTTTTCTACTTGAATTAAATATAAACGAGTGGTTCGGAATATAACAAAAGAATATGAACTATGCAAATCGATAATCCGGGTATCGGAACTTGGCTGATTTGAAAATGCCTTCAAATACGGCGTGACGCCTCACGCATTCCGAAGAGTTCAAATAGTTGTATCATGATAGCCTCCATGCACGCTAGGCTTGTCGATTTCCTCTAAAATTTTTGCAGTGGTGAATGCATAGCTGAAGTGCGCTTCAGCTAGAAATGTATTTACAAATGGGTGGTTTTTCTACGAGGATTAAAAATAAACAAGTGGCACGGAATATAACAAAAGAATATGAACTATGCGAAACGATAATCCGGGTATTGGAACTTGGCTGATTTGAAAACGTCTTCAAATGCGGCGTGATACCTCACGCATTCCGGAGAGTTCAAATAGTTGTATCATTGCGCCGTATGAATGTGAAGATTTAAATGGAAATAGCCTTCATGCAGGCTCGCCACATTCCATCTCGGGCCCTGGTACCAGTTGGCGGCATGGAGTGAGGTTGGAGATCTTTTCTGATCAGAATTGAAAAGAACAAGAACAGATATATCGATTGTCAGTTCGGATAATATCCAAGACAGAAGCCAAGATAGCACAATAGGTTACTCTCGCTATCTTAGATTTTGAAATTATGAAAATGTGACTGGAACTTGGAGCTTCTCGTCAAAAACACACCGATATCAAGTTGAACCAAAATCAATCAAACAGGAGCGATACATCGTAGGATCGGTATCTACTGCCGTGCCAAGGAAGAACGCCGTATAAACACTCGAGAGTTGCCAAATTTCCTCGAATAAAACATGTAGTTCTGACAACATTCATGCATATTTTTCCTTAAAATGTTCAGATAACTTATATGTAGATAAAATTGCGTGCAAAATTGTCTGAAAATTTTGAAGAAAACAAATATTCACAATTTTTCTAATTATTGCGATTTTTATCTAAGGAAACTTGGCAACGCCTGAAGGTTCATACGGCGTTCTTCCTTAGCACGGCAGTGTAGAACTCTGTACAGTGGTAAACGGTATCTACCAGGCTATTTGCAAACGTCAGTGCGCCTACATTTTCGTTTGATACTGTGCAATACTTCTGAGGCGGAATAGTTGCTCAGAGCGCCTTTTAGAGCATTGCGTCGACTTGCTGCTGGGAGGGGATCACGATTGCCGCTGAGATTTAACTTTGGAGCACTTGTGCAGCTACACATTTCCTGATAACACCGACGGTGGGTTCAAAATATTCGTGTCTCAATTTGCCACGTTGCAAGTTTGGATAGTCTCGAAGGCGCCAAGATAGCATATTAGCTTACTCTCGCCATCTCAGATTTTGAAATCATGAAAATGTGACTTGCACTTCGAGTTTCTCGTTAAAATTACCCCCGATACCGAGTTTCACAAAAATCGATCGGACAATAGAGCCGAGCCAGCATTATAGGCCACTTTCGCCATCTCGGATTTTCGAATTTTGAAAATTTGAGTCGAAATTTAAGTTTCCCGTCAATCAATGCCGCACTTGCTACCAAGTTTCACCAAAACTATTTTATTATAAGCAGTGAAAAGCTTGCAACCGCAATAACGCGGGAAAAGCAGCATGAACACTTAAATATCTGTCGTGATTTTTCCAAGATACGATTAAAAATGGACCGCCAGAGAGGAACAAGCCACATCAGCTATTGCCAAATTCAACTGGGCAATTCAATTTTTTACGATATAGCGTTTTTGTGGATTCCTTTGAAAATTTTAAGGAACTTGCTTCGTGCTATTGAAAAAATTCGCTGAAATTTGCACAAAAATCCGCACAACCGCTCTCGTGTAAAAAATTGAATTGCCAAATTAAATTTGGCAATAGTTGATGTGGCTTGGTTCCTTTCTGTTTAACGCGGTCCAAATATCTTTTAACTTTAATTTTTCCCCCTTTTAAAAGACATGATCACCAGAAACAGTTTCTTTGCCTTTCGTGTTTAATTATTTCCCTCATTACCGTCAATCCTATACTTTTCATTAAGTTTTCTACTAGTTAAACTAATATCAACGGTGTAAGTCGGCAATCACATAACTCGTTTCCGGTGTCCGAAAATCTCCGCCCCTATGCTATTTGTTTAAAAGAGAACAAGTAGACACCATTCCTTGAAGTTTATGTAGAATTTTCGTCGCACAGAGAAAAAAAAAAACCACGGCAGTCTTAGAGAATTGCCGTTGAGCAGTTTTCCGTTTACAAAATAAAATATGACAGAAAATCTGCGACATCGCAAACCGAGTTATGTGATTGCCGACTTACACCGTCGATATGCTCTTTCTTGGCAACACTGATGAAAAGTCTAGTCTCGGTTTAGGAAAAGAATAAGTTCCTGTTAGCAGACATCACTGTAGGTAGCGTCATTTTTTGCTGACAGTGCCCAACTCGGCCGTTTAAATAAACCATGAATCTACAGACAAGTCGGCTGAAAGTAGTGAAGTGTTTACAATGGGTAAGTATTGTTTAAGAGATGTTTGCTCACTTTAATTTCCAAGTCTCCGGCGCTTCAAGACTCCCACCTTCAAGCTGATTACAATCTCATTTCTACTGACGGATGAGAGGCTCGCCTCAAATATCCTCCCCATCCCCTTCTTTTTCCCTCTGAAAAGCCAAACTTAACCAGTCCTTCCCCGTTCTCCGTAAAATAACAGACGGTGCACATTGTGGCTTAATCGTTTGCTCTCGTCTTTCGATCTTTCTATAGTCTATCAGTGCGGTTCGATTTCAACTTTCATGGTGCTTTGAGCCACTTCCTCTTACTTATATACTTTTTTATCATGTGTAATGACAAAGAATTGAATCACAAGCTAATTTCAAATCTCTTGATCCGTTAGCCAAAATGATCGCCAGTTTGTGGCAGGAATATTGTTTGAAAACCTCTATTCATGGGCTTAGATACGTTGCTGATTCCAAAAGGCCTTTTATTGAGCGGTAGGTCTGCGTGTGACCGTTAAAAAAAACACTAGCACTCTGAAAATCCACATACGGTCATGAAATTGTGTATTGTAACACTTGTAGTAAGCCTCCTGAAAAAACTAATGAAAACTGTGACTGAGGGCTCGTTTGTAAACACAAAGTGATAACTCTTAAAAACCATTCATCAATTTCGACCTTGTTTGAAAACCCTAAATCTCTAATTATCTTTGTTACCTATATCACATCTTCTCGTATAAATCTCTTACGGGATGATCTGAAATCGGTAATTCAGGATTGCGCGAAAGGACTTGCAGGATTGGGCGAAAACGGCACAAGGATTGCGCAAATAGAAACCTGAACATCAGCTTCAGAAATGCGCGACTTTAAAATGTAGTTGATTTAAAGTAAAAGTTTGGCAACACAGGAAACAGGTGGAAAATAAACGCATTTTCATGTCAACGCTAGTTTAGGTTATTTTGTTGACAAGACATCGATGTCTTACTTTCTGATGATAAATGAAGTGAAAAGATTGAAAAATGGTCGTGGGCATAAAGAACTATCTTAAATTTTCTCGGGAAAAATATGTAATCGGGAGAAAGGAGGCAACGTTGGAATGCTCATACGGCGTCGAACCACAACACGGGCCTTACAAGAACTATTAATCGATGCCGCGATTATTCTAACAAGAGTTAAGAAAATCGCGCCGAACACAGGGCAGCCGGCGCGCGGCGTTAAACGTATCAACGCCTGCAAGACTGTGGGAATACTTTACGCATTGCGCCAAATGGTGCGATCGGCGTCAAGCCCATATTAGCGCCTACAAGACTGCATGAATACTTCTCGCATTACGTCAAACGCAATGCAGTCGGTCAGTTGGTGTGAAACACACATTAGTGCCTACAAGATTTGGGAATGCTGGAGGACCGCGAGTTATCATTCTTGACTTTTTGCTTTAGTTTTTACTATAATTAAAGGAAAAATATGTAACCACAATGTAACTATTCAGAAACTCGGATGATTGTTAATTTTTTTTTTTTGTTACATTAAAAGAAAATAGATCTAACAAAAATATCGCGTCAAAATTTTCGATACTTTTATTTGAGATCATTTAAATGAACTCGCAGAAACTTTTTAGAAAAACTGTGTGTAGTTTTTTAAAAACATTTATTAAAAATAAAACATAAAAGTGGTGCATAACGTTGCAATCAGAAATAGGTAAATATACGCTTCTTTTGGATGTGCCCGTGGCCGTCGGGTTTTGAATCCATTCATCTCTTTAAAAACTCTAGTGGGAAACTTTAGTAGGACTTTAAAGTGTACTTTTTTTCAGTGGTTGGCCACACACCCTTAACTCACTTTTTAAAAATCCATGAAAGCTCTCTGGGCCATTCGTGCTACGAGGGCTATCCATCGTAGAGAGACATGCCCGTAAGTAAGGAGGAAATGAACAGTTTTCCACAATGTAATTATTCACCACAAACTATCAGGGTTGCCAGATTAACGCTGCCTCGTTAAAAATTGAATATTCGCGCACACGCACGAGTTTTCAGTACCAGAGGATTTCTCGCATTCTTATGCATCTCCAAAAAGGTAAAGAATATGGGGAATTCGCACAATCCTATCGCTGTCTTTGAGATCTACGAGCTAAATCAATAAAAATCTGAAGAAAACACCCAAGAAATGTTTCGTTCAATACATTGGCCTCTTAATATAGACGTGAATCAATATTTATCGATCTTCATTTCAGCATTGAAAAATATTAAAAATCAAACGCAACAGTTTGACCTTGGACCATGGTGCTTTTTAGAATGAAAATCCTTTAAAAAATGCAATTTGCAATTTGACGTGTCCTTGAAGATGATTTTTCATGTCTCTGAATTGTAGTTTTTTCCCCCTTTTTTTTGGTACGAGGATAGTGGTGTATGGTGTTGCCTGCTAGTATGCGCCGCCATTTGGATTTTGTATCAAGTTTTCGAGTTGTGGCTTGTTTTCTCGATCGGGCCAACTCAGATCGTCGTAGACAACCCTCGTTACCCACTAGCAAAGATTGATTTCCCGGCTGTCACAATTTGTCCCATCAACAAAGTCATGTACTCCAAGGTCCTTGCGCACATGGATACGTAAGTTCCTTTCAGAGAAAAATACGAAATTCGTCGAATAGTCGTCGCACAAAGGATCAAGTCAATAGGAGAGACTGGAAAAAATTTGGAAACTTTAAAAGCTCATATCTCCGTTCATACAAAATGTTAAGGTTCTAAAAGTGGCTCCATTGGGTTTCTAGTGAAATTCTTTTCTAGAAACACCCTTTAAAGTTTAAATTGTGGCGAAATAAACATCCAAATTTGCAGTTTTATAGTCAACAATTTCATGTCAGACCTCTCTAATTGACTCGATCCTTTGTGCGTCGCTTGCTTACAGAAAATCACGATTTAATTTCCAGTATAACTGGATTGCATTTTGCAAAAAGGAACCACCAGCATTGCAATGTTGCTAAGATTGTGCAACTTCTTTTGTCTTGGAGGAAAAACCCGATTTTCCATTAATAGTTTCTATTTTACTCGCTAAAAAATTTTAAATTTAAGACAAAAATTACCATCTAAATTTCATAGTTTTTCACGATTTCCGCAATTTTAATGCAAAAGATGAAATTGCACAATCTTAGCATCATTGCAATGCTAGTGGTTCCTTTTTGCAAAATGCAATCCAACTTATATGACTTGTATACCGTCACCTTCCGGCCAAAGTATCACAAGCGCCATGCGACGTTTCAAAATTTCTACCGCCATTTTATTTTTTACAGAGAAATTGTTGGTTGAATCTATTTGAAAATTTCACTGAATTTTATGAGCAGCAGAAAGAAAATTCAGTGAAATTTTCGGACAGCTTCGTTGAACAATTCCTCTGTGAAAAAATAAAATGGCGGCGGAAATTTTGAGACGTCGCATGCCGCTTGTGATATCTTGGCCGGAAAGTGACGATATGTGATGGGGTCTTAGGTAAAGGGTTCTTTGAGTTGGAATGAAAACAAAACTATCCCTCAGCTTACAGGGATTAATTTTGAAAAGAGTTCCGAAAATTCCAAGAATTCAATCTCCGATAGCCAATTATGGAAACGTTTTATTTCAAAAGCTTATGATTTTGCTTTTAAAGCAAATTATGACTTGAAATTTTAATCAAATGTCTTTGAGGGTTTTAGAAAGTGTTCAGCACCGAAAACAATCCACGATCAGCACATGCACCATTGAATAGTTTGAGTTTCCACCTTAAGGGTTATTGCCTATAACTCTGTCTCAAAATGGTGATGTATTCAGAAAATTATACGGATCTCCTATCATATGACGTAAATAAATAAATGCTGATCTTTTTTGAAAATATGATTTGTCTCATTTCTTGCTACAATTTCAGTTGCTTTTCTCTCGGTATTCCTATTTTTAAAATGTTGTTGAGACGGGAGATATGTTCCCGTTGCAGGTACTCTACCTTTTGCATTGTGTATTCAAGCACTTATAACAGATATGTCACCAGATTTTGCCATCAGAGGGAAACGAAATGAAGTATTCATTGTATATTTCTAGGATTTTTGACCGAAATGACAGAACCAACAGAGAAAACTTTATTCATTCAATGGTTGCCATGTCTTTGATGCGCTATCCATACTATGACAATCCGGCGAATTATTTACAGAACAAAACAGCATACATACTGAACAATAGTGAACTAGATAAGCTCATGCAAAAGGTGAATTCACTTTTTATTCTTATTTCAGATTTTGGAACCGTTCTTTAATAGCATTTATGGTAAATTCAGGCGAAAACTTTATGCCTTACGTGGATGCCTAAAGTTAATGCTCACATCGGAAAAATTCGATTGGGGTTTAAAATTTCGATTTTTAGTGATTGATGCTGAAAAATGTTGATTGTTACATTAGCCACACAGCACCTATACCTTGTGGCTAAATGCAACAATTTTTGTTGCGTGGCGCCACGAGCCGTGGCTGAATAAACAGATACCCATCGGGGAATAATATACTATATTAATAATGTTCTGAGCGGTTGAGGTAAAGCGTTCCTGATATTCACTGGTAAAAAAAAACCTCTTGGTTCAAGAGTGCAGTTTTTTTTCGCCGGATTCAAGAGTCTGGACTCTTGTTTCAATGCAAAATCCGCTTGAATCGATGCAAAATCCGCTTGAATCAATGCAAAATCCGCTTGAAACAAGAGTTCAAGACTCTTAAATCCGGCGAAAAGTAACTGCACTCTTAAGTCAATGCACCGCGGCATTGGTCCAAGAGATTTTAGCGGCTCTGGTGCTTGCACTAGAGCTGCTATTCCGGACGGTCCCAGCTGGGGAGTATCATTGGACCATGTTACATTGGAGAGACCGCGCGTTGGTTAATGGGAATCGGCGCCATTTTCGGCTATGTTCCTTGTCATGACTTTATTTTATTGCATATTGTTTTATTGTTAGCCAATGCTATGTTGTGTAGTGTATTTTTGGAATCATGGTGATACAGTCAATAATTCAAAACTTGTCTGTGCTTTAATCTCGTGATGGAAAAAATGTACTTTACGTTCAAAATTTGAAAATTTGAATTTTAAAGTTTTCGCGGTTAAGGAAGCTCCAACCACTGGGTTGGAGCTTCCTAGTCATATTACTCGATATCAGCTGATAGCAAACAAAGGTTACCAAGGAAACCGTAAACGTCTAATGCCGTCTGCCCACGTAGCAAATGGGAGGCGAAAATGGAAGTCATCAGTGCATCGTTGAGTGTTGACGCCCGATCCCATTTTCAGACATGTTCACACGTTTTGCTTGCAAAGAAAAAAGGCGGCAAATCAATTTTTATTATTGGACCAATGAGTGTTCTCCAATTTGAGTTTGTAAACATCGTGGTTTCTAGGTTAGGTTTTTGGCTGTGTGATAAATGATATTATGCCGTCTTTGATTTTGTTAAAATGACTCGATATATGTTATTTGATAAACGATTGGAGTTTTGATAAAGTAAGTTGATTTGAATTAAAAATTGTGTCCTTAAAAAATGGATGATGAGGTGATTTGGTTAACATGGGCATTTGTGGTACTTGCGGCGTATTGGGAGTTTGTATGGAAACGACGTGGCAGTAGTCCACACTTTTTACAAGAAACTATTTTGTACAAAGTTCTGTACAAATTTTACACTATTTATACAGTAATATAATACAAAAAAATTATGTACTTTATCACAACTCACATAGCTTCAAAACAAGATAGAAAATGATGGATGCTCAGCCCCGACACATCGATGATCGCGAAATTTGCGCGGCCCGCGCAATTTTCACGTTCAACACTCACCGATGCACTGATGACTTCCATTTTCGCCTCCCATTTGCTACGTGGGCAGACGGCACACAACTACCGTGGCCATCGGGGCGATTATTGAAATGACATCGACTCTATGTCGCCGCTTACGACAAGACATATAGCCCTATCTTAACCGTGTAATATATCGCAATTCGATATTCAAAACCATTACCTACAATTTCAGATATAAAAATGCAAATTTTTTGCAGCCTCGCTAAACGACTTATCAACCATGCATTCCAAAGTTTCTTATCACAGGGCTGTGAAAATATACAATCTAATAAATACAAAATAACCAAATATCTAAAAAGACAAAATTTCAGTTACAGTCAGTTTCAGTCTTATTGTTGCACAAACTAGTTATTTGACAAAAAAAGAAGATGATCACTCAATTGAAAGAAATTGGCGCCCAATCACAACGACAAGTTAAAAAAAATACTGTGGGAGAAATTTTTTAGGATGCGGACCTCCAAAGAGCCTTCAAAATTAAAAGTATACAACAAGTGATAGTGCCATGCATTCTGCATATCAAGGGCCAATACACATTTATACACCGGCTACGTAAATCTGCTAAGTTACAAAACATGAATCGACAGTTGTCGGATTGTACATCAGTGACAAAAAGTGTCTAGGCCCTCATTCTTGACTACAACTACTGTCGCCAGAGCCGCTCTCCGACGCGAATGCGTTGGAGCTTCCTGCTTGTTTTTTTACCAGTGGGTATAATCAAAACAATGATTTTTTCGAATTCCCCTTTTCTCATCATCAAACTTTAATTTGATCTCCAGACTGGAATAAAAACATGGCGAATTTCATCAGAAGTATAGTAAATTCTATCACGAGTCTACTTGATTTTTGACAAAGCGATGCTGTGTTGGTCTGGCTCGAAAATTCTTGGGGTACTGATATGTTTTCGGGGCCCCTTCTTCATGGGTGGGGCTCCCCTGCGTTCATTTTAGGTCGGGCCCACGCTGGAGGAAGTATTCGCAGGATGTTTTTGGCGTGGAACACCTCATCCCTGCACCGATCTAATTCGACCTCAACGGACTGAAGAGGGATACTGCTACTCTTTCAACAGCAAGACTGCAGAAAGAGAGAGCAACGCGTGAGTCAGCTTTTAGATTAATTTTATAAACGAGGTACGAAATTTTGGAATCTTCTACGAATGATGTCAATCGCTTCTATTTCAAGCAAAAATAGAACATTGCTCCGTCGAACCTCTATTCACAGGTTTGGATTTTTTCGCAGCTATTTTTACGATGGGAAGCTGGGGCTCCAAAACTTTTAAAAGCCGTGGGAAGCGTTAACTAAACAGAATCCGGGAGTTTGATGCTTTTCGCAAGTTTAGACTTTTGAATATCTTGTTATTTTAATTTCGTTTTACTCTTTTGAGTATCTCGAATATCTCGAAAAAAGAAATCAGAACCCTTGATGAACTCTAAAATTAGGGCAAAAAGTATCTGAACACCCTTTTTTTACGATTAAGCACTAGTACCTACGCTTCATAAAGCTATCGTCCCAATACACTCACTTCTCACATTTTAAAAGAAACATGCAGAGATGATAAAAAAGAGGGTGAGAAGATTGTGATACTCTCTAAGAAATTTTGTTTGAACATTGATTTAATTTCATTTTCAAATTAAAAGAAAAAATCACCCCCCCCATCAAACCACAAATCACGAAAAGCAGCCCCCAAATCGGAACGAGAGATGAGCGCCGGACAACATCCGAGGATGATGACCCTTCTTAACCGGTGATGCCACTTTTTCGTCTCGGGGTGTGGTTTTGCCTATCCGTCGAGATGAAGGGAACCTGCTTATTGTGGTTCATCGGCAGATGCCAAGATGCTTCCTGCATTACAATAGTCGCTTCCCTGAGATTGACCCGTTTTCTGTCTTACTTCATGTAACGAAAAAAAGGAAGGAAAGTCCCGGAAAAGATATAGAGGTATCTACGCAAATATTGCAAAACCTCTCGTAATCTTTCGCCAAGATTGGAGACAGGACAATGAACAGAGGAAAGTTTAGTTTTCGATTTTATTTTTCAATAGAATCTATCTTAAATTTACAAGTTTGTACAAAACAACCGGTGCAGTTCTTAAAGTACAAGGCCATCGGACCGAATCGTAATTTCCTTTGAAGCACACAAAACGAGTGCTTTTACGGGATGAATGAAGATTTTGTTCTACCATTCCACTCGATTGGAGGTTTACTAAGCCCCATTTATTGCAATCCATCTGGATCCAAAAAAAATAAGGAAAGGATATTAAACCGCTGTTTCATAGACTTCTCAGGAACTCTATTGCTACAGATTTCTGTTTGCGGATTCGAGGTCTTTGGCGATGTACGTTTGATTTTTTGCTACAGCTGCTAGGATTCTGGTATTCTTAGTCTTAACAGCACATCAAGCTACATATTTCTTTTGAATTTTGCACGCATAACAGAGAATTTTAGTGATTACAAGATTTCTGATTATACATGATCCATAGAAAATCTAATAACCAATACTAGATTTCTGTCTGTGTAAATCATACTTCGACGGTGAAACTACCAAACCACGTATCTCGTTTGCGGTGTTTAAAAATCTACGCTCACATTTTATTTTTTTGAAGTAGACCAAATCAATATAATTCCTTAAAATTTTCACAGAATTTTCTCCGCACAAAGAGGAAAAATCACAGAAATTTTCAAGACTGGACGTTAAGTAGTTTTTCATTTAAAAAATAAAGTATGACAGGAAGTTTGCGACGTCGCAAACCGAGATACGTGGTTTGGTAGTTTCACCGTCGACTTTTGATCGCGTTTACCTATTGGCAGCAAGACAAGTCTTGTCAATGTCAAAAATCTAGTGCTGGCAGGGCTACTAGAATATTCCTGGAGATTATAATAGGCAAAGAGGAATGTAGTAGCCACTAACTTATTTTTTCCCCGCGTATTTCAAATTACGAAATAATTGAGACTAAGAAAAGATAGGATAAAATAACTACACTATAAATCAGTTTTCATTTTACAAATACATAATAATAAATTAAATTAATTATAAATAAATAGTGTTTCAATCGAAATCAAATACCTAAGTTTCGTATGTTTCATGTGATGTCTGTTTTACTTCATAATGCGTTTTAGCAAAAGGGATACGGTAACGTAAAACTTGCAAAAATTGAGTCAGTGCAAGCTTTTCGCAAAAGTATATCTTTCACCACAACTGGAAATACTAAAAACAGAATACGCAGGGTAGGTTGAAACAGTACCATCATATTCACAAATGAGAGGGAATTGAACTTTACAGGGGAAAACAACGTAAGTACCTATGCGCATCTCTTTTTCGAACGGCATTTTTCCTCATTTGTAATATTTCATACCGTGCTGTTACTCGTTACTAAACACATTACAAAATTATGGCCGTTTCATCGAATATCATTATCATTCTTTGGGTCTCAATGCAATTATCGACGATAGAAATCCTCAGCCTCCGCGATTCAAATAATCTCTGAACCTTTTGGGATCTAGCTTTCAACAATTGATTGGAATTATTGCAGTCTTGAGGAGGATACCAGGTCATGTAATTCTTGGTCACGAATTAACCTCGATATCTTTTTCTGTCAGTCGTCTCAAACCTGAAAAACATATTTAAAACACCATGAAAACGTATTTGAGAACATTAAAATCATAGTTAGGAGAGGAATATCTGTTTCTGTATGGTTTTAAACGATAAAATGAACTAATGAGCCATTTTAAGCTTTAACAAAGAAACGATTACCCAATGAAGCCATCGCAAGGCAACAGTTTTCTTCAAAAGTCATTTACTAGAAAATGAAGTTTCAAAATGAACCGACGATGAAGATTTGCTGATTTCATCGGTAGTGAAATTTATCTAAGTAGCAGAAATGTGAAGTATTCATTAAAACACTCTCATTCAAGGTGTCACTGCGGTAATGTGACTCATTTCATCCTCTCCTAAGTGTTTTCTACAACGTCTCATCGCTAAGTATCCGCTTGGGAAAATAGAATTTTGACGTTTCCGTTTGTAGCAGGGGCTGATTTTGGAAATTTTGTGTTTGTCGGGCGGACATAGATTACTTACGTTGAATGGCGTAGTGTGGTTGGTTGGTCATGTCTCATCCCTACTTTGTCGTGCCTATGTCGGGTAAAATTAACGATAAGCTATCAGGAGCTCAAGGGGTGCCTCCAGCTTGTCGTCAACTCCACCGACATATAAGAAATAACCGACCAATTAACGTATGTCATCTATGTCCGCCCGACAAACACACAATTTCAATAACTGGCTCCTGGGGAACAACATTGCAACATGCATTGCAACATCCTGCCAACATTGGGATGTATTTTTCTTTTAATTTTTATTTAAATCATTACTTATGTAGTAACTAAAAACTATTTAATAATGGCCCTCGAAACTTTCATCATTGCGTATTTAAAAACTTGAAAAAGAACGGCAAAAAAAGCACAGTGTTATGCATTTATGAACTTAAAGCTGGTGCACCGATAATGAGGAACAGGCAATCTAATTTGCACATTCTTCCTTTACTCATATACTTCTCCACTTATTTTCTTTGTCCTTTTTTTTTTTTTTTTTTTTTTTTTTTTTTTTTTTATCAAAAGGGTGAGAATGTACATGTCTTTGATGACCCTTTAGTTGTATACCTACGTACAGTGCGTATTCGTTGCTTCCAACTTTATGCCTACACCCTTTCATTTTCCTCGCCCTCTAATTTTCAAGGATTTTTATTCGTTTTTAGTATGAGACTTCTAATAAAGCTCGCTACTTCGTTTTCTCCTCTAAAAATAAAAATAACCAATGGGCCAGGAACCCTTCTTGGTGCTGTAATTATACGTTACCCTTAATTTTGTCCTCACACGACATGAGGAATCTATTTGTGGCAGCAAAATCATGTGCGAGGGTCGCTCCAGAACCTCCGAACTCGGGAGGGAGAATTTTGGGCGATACTTCAGCGTGAAGGGAGGCATAATTTTTACCGTGGAGTCTTATCTGCAAAAAAATTATTTTCATATTTAAATGGGTGAAAGTACACGTTTAATTATGTTGCATTAATTAATGGTCACTTCATGAAAGTGAATAAAAAGAGGCAGCAGAGCAAACGCTTCCCACTAAGTTTTGCTCCTTTTGGTCAGAGATTGCTTTCTTTTGTGTGATAGATCTCGGTGCATTACCCACGTTCATCCTTCACACACATCTGTGATTCGTGTATCAAAGGATCAGGCTTTCTTCTCTTTTTCTTCAACAAGCAGAACATGCACGAAAACCTCTGTGAAGGCAAAGCATGATCTTGATGGGATAAGCTAAAGGCAATCATATTTCTTGTTTGCTTTGCTTCAACATTCCGTTTCAAAGGTCAATTAGTTTTTTATCAAAACATGTGACGACTAATTGCTCTTTGAATGTCCTTGAAGACTAACCTTTTTGGGGCTGGAGGAAATAAATAATTTAAAAAATCGAAGCTTAATTGCGATCGATTTCCTCAATGAGAGCTCCTTTGAAGGGTTTGAAGGACAAAGCGCATAAGTGCAGTTCCTTCTTTTAAAAAAAATTGAGGTGTTACTGATTTCGAGTAAAACTAGTCTTAATGCATATTTTGTGAAAAGTTCGCTCCCAAATTCTAATTTTTTAGGCATTATAAAGTCAGTTGGAACTTTCTCTCCGCCATAATGTAATTTCGAAACTTTAAACATGTATTTTTCGAAATAGCAAAAACCGCATTTACCCGCCTTGTCCACCATGCCACTTATTTGTAATTGGAAATTTGAAACGTAGCAAATCTGCATTATATTCTTGGAGCTTGAAGTAACTTAATGGTGCATAAGACTCTTTTTTTTATGAAAATCGCACATGCAGTAATACTTCCACGTTTGAAAGACACTGTTTTAGCTATGTGGATTTTGAGCCAGAACAAAACAGAGCATTATCGGAAATCAGTGGGGAACTTCTGATTTCACGATCTACCTCACTTAGACTGGAAGCTCTAACTTTGAAGATCAAACTGTTTACATTCTGGCCTCTGACTAGATAAAAGTAATCAGGCACGTAAGTCCAAAGTTTATTTTATCGAAAGGATGTCGCTTCTACGTAAAAAATATGAGAGTCAGAACTAAAGACCATTGAAATTTTAATACTTCATCTTTTTCTTATTTTTCTCCATTAGATTTTATGCACAATATTCTCGTAGACTGATTGTGTACCAACACCAGAAATTTTCATTGACTAAAACTGAAAATGTTTCTCAAGGTCAAAAATTCATATGTTTTAAAGTTGTAAATCAATCCACAATTTTGATTTGGACGGGCATGATGGGTTGAAGAAAAAAAAAACAGAGGAAAAACACTTACTTTTTTCCTTAGTTTCTCCTTTAAAAATGGACTAAACATGGCAAATAATGCACTGAAGTGAAACGCTTGATTGACTATATGGATCTCTCGTAGGCGGAAAGGTATGCACTCCTGTAAATCAGAATATTACCAACATGAAAGTCAGGTTTTAAGTAAATTAATGTTGAAATAGTAAAAGGAATTAAAAATAAGTATGTCCTCTCTTACATCCCTTTGTTTCAATTTCATTACGTATTACCATTGCGAATTTCAATATTTTGTTTTTCCAAGGATCATCTAACGCTATTACTAGCGGATACGCAAGGAAATGTTTGATAAATAATTGGACGTATTTCTATCAAACAGACCTAAACGCCATAGGGTGAGGGAGGTAGAGGGGGGCTTGGATTGGCGGCGGAATCGGGCGTCCGGCTTATTCCGTCCTATACTCGCAATGCTTTTCCATGGCGCTTAGGTCCGTTTGACCGAACGCGCTATCCGGGATTCTAAATTCCTCAAAAGGAATTCAAATTGGCGCTTAGTTCCGTTTGATAGAAATACGTCCAATTGATTTTTCTTCAGGTGACAGTAATCAATAAACATGTAATGCCGCGTTCTCGTCAGAAATAATCATGAGGGTTTTCATTGTACGGTCACGATTTTACGTCATTTTTTCCAACAACATTTGATTCTTCCTTTGAAGATATTTTGACTTGATTTTTTTTTTGTTGAGATTTTGAAAATGCCATCTTAAATGATTCAACATGATCCAACTGCGCACCGACTTTTGCTTAAATTTTATAGTCATTCAGTCCATTGAACGCAGTGGGATGCGACGCGACGCCTCCAATGATACAGCCAGAATACAACTATTCGTGTTCGAGAGATGCCCATGTTGTATATACGAAAAATTGAAGGCGCCGTAGATTTTTAACTCAGTATGCACGTACCTGAATGATATTGACGATGAGCCAAGCGACGGTAGGCGTGATTATACGGGCTTGCTGTAAAAGCGTAAAACCTGCCAGGTCAAGTACTAAAACTAGTCCAACGACTTGTAACTGAGGATCCTCCATTAGCAGTCGAAGAAGAGTTGTCGCATACTGGAAAACGTCTTCAATTTTGAACTTATCCACGTTGATATGTCCTGAAACAAAATTGAAACATTTTAAAATTTCACACGGGAATTAATTTATATGAGGATGTCGGCTAGGGTCCCTCTCGATGTTTTCAAAATCCATCGAGAAGAGTGCGACATTTGAGAGGCTTGGAGGATAAGGCGCATAAGTGCAGTTTTTGATCCCTAATTATAGTTTTTAAGCATCAAAAATTCAGTTTGAACTTTCTCTCCGCCTTAAGGATCCGTGTAATTTTGAAACCTCAAACACGTATTTCTCGAAATACCGAAAACTGCACTTATGCACCGTGTCGTCTAAGCCCCTCATTTGTGAATAGAGAAGCAGAAGTGCATGGCAAAGCATTGGGGAGCTTCACTCGAGTAGCGTGGTGCAATGAAATAAATAATGAAATAAAAATGTCATTTATTGCAGTAAAATTGCAATATTTTCGCAATGAAAATGCAATATTTCTACAAAATTTAATTAATCAAAGCCGATTTCAAACGAAGAACAAACGATAAACTTCAATTAAAAGTGCTCCTTCAATCAGTAGATAGGCAACATACACAACACTCTGATGCTGCAGCACAAATAATTTCACTATGTAATTACAATGTATTGCAGTCTATGATGATTGGGACTAGGGCAAATCCAGTTCTATTTGCAGCATTTATCGGAGTTTATGAAAGTTTTGCTCTCCAAAACTTTTGCTTCCGTAAATTCTAAATGAAATGGCGCCCTTGCGTGTTCTGATTTTATTTACTTAGCGGATAAGACAATAAGCAATTTCGCAAATCTAAATAATGGAATCACATACTGAATGTATGATATGCACAGACAAGATTACTGGTATCTTGGCAATAATGGAAGCTTTTACTTTCGGTACTACAACATTCAACTCTTGACCTACCTACTAAGTGGGTGGTTAACAAAGGGTTGAGAATTTTGTTTTGCAAATAAATTGAAGTTTGGAGAACTTGTTCGGCTCATTACGACACCGGGAGCTCATCATTCACTTGGTAGGTAAGATGACTGTTGCTTTTATATAATTGTGCACAAAGAGGTGTTGAATCCCCGAAAGTAAAAGCTTCCACGTGTCACAAAGAGGCCAGTGGAGGGTCTCTTGTCTCCGATATTATGCTATGGGGCTTGCAGCTAGAGTTCTGGTGCTGCTCATGGTGTCATATTTTTTCAGAAACTTTTCCACTTTTGGAATGAATGAACTTACGTGGAAATCCAAGAACAACTTTTCTGCCTAAATAATCCGACTGAGGGCATACAACAAGCAAAGGTTTCTTGAGAAGGTAACATTTTTCTGAAGGAAGAAAGAAGTCAAAATGTACAGGATACGTCCGCTGAATATTGTAAAACTTTTTCACCTGCAAAAAGGAAAGAAAATTCAAACCTATTTTTAACTATTAATTTAATACTTATTAATTACTTAATTTAAACTATTATTTTCTCTCTATCAAGTTTTCATTTTCATGAAAGCTTCTTCGAGAGAAACAGTCATCTTTTTTTTTCTTTTTAATAAAAATGGTCTCGTGCTATTGTGAGAGGTTGTGCTCCAATAGAAAATGAAGAACTTCCAAAAACAATTTTTTTTCTTTTCCAGTTACGATGCTAGCTGGGGTGTGAAGAGGGGGGGGGGGTCCCCTGCAATATTTTCCATTTACGTCATTTTAATTAAATCTGCGTGTTTATAATACGTCGCACGAAGATCACCCACGATCGTCCGCGATGAACTTAACCACAAATAGTGTAAGAAATAAAACGTGAGTTGATATTATCAGTCTCGGCATTTACCATTCACACGTGAGCTTCGACATTCAGTTTCATCGCATAGGTAAATGCAACTTTTCTAGGTTGCGATAAAGAGGAACACCTAGCTAATGGACTAGACCAAAAGACGTAGGAAAAAGACTGGGAAAGAGTGGAAAAAATCTAGGACGAATATAAAAAGCCGGTTAAGAGCTGTTAGATAACAATGCACATCCCAGTTCAATTTCATTGAACGTATTAGTGCAAGTTCATAACCTGTCGATTGTGGTAATTTGTTGTGATAATCCAACCGCGTTGGGTCTCAGTGTTTTCATCGAGGCAGTATCTATCGCAAAGGCAAAAGTGACTGTGTCAATGACCGACATAACTGAGGAAAAATGCGCTTGAATTGATAGTAATTTTAGAGAAATCATCTCACTACACTCTCTTTGGATGTTTCTTCACATTTTTATGTGCTTATCTACCTTAAATTATGCTATACTTCCGAAACATTATTTTTTCCGAATTAAGTCGAAAAGTAGGGAAGTAACGACTCTCAACTCTCAGGGTATCTTGCCTAGTCATTGTAACTAAGCCAATTTAATTTACCCGATCTTTGCGTGGAAACTTTGATTGAATATGAGGGTAGATCTATTCATGGAGCAGGACTGCTTTCTCGATAAAGAGAAAATTAAATTTAGAACACATTTCTTATTTTTTAGACATTTTCTTGAGCTTCGGAGTTGATTTTAGAGAAAATCGAAAATCCGATCTGTTGGCACGATGATCATAACCTTTAAGGCCCTTTTTTTTGGATTAGTAAATTATAATGTTGCGTTACTGTTATTTTTATACAATAAATAGTGCTCGACGATTATATGTTTTGCGTGAAATAAGTCAAACTTTACCGATTCGAAAGACTTCTCCACATTGTGTTTTTTGGTCCGTAGAAATGCAGATAGGAATACATCATCGATCCTCGCTCTGAGTTCGGGATGTTCTGAAAATAAATAATCAAACGTTACATCACTTGATTACACGTATGTGCCATTACTCTTCATTAAAAAAAAAAAATCTGACTATTAATGAGATTTTATTATATTATTCAGAGGTACATCATTTGTAGCATAGAGCGGAGCATTGGGAGTTTACGCCTCGCGGCATCGCGCCTTCACTTTTGCAAACGCAATACGGACATCCATTAAGCACAAATAGTTGTATCTCTGCGCCGTCGTCAACGCGTGACCTTTCTCCTGCCCTATTTATATGTTGTGTTTGTCCTGTTTGTTTTATTTGTGCTGGTTCTTCAAGGACTACTGCAGCAACACAGCCGAAATTAGGGAATGCGTAACAAGGTGGTGAAACGGTGCTGGGTCCACATCATTTCGCGGAGAAAACAATGCCAGAAAGTTCAAAAATTTCAATTAGAGTAAAAAATGTTGAGCTCTGAAGAGCACCAGTAAAAGACTATGGGGGAGAGTGTTCAGCTTAGTCTTGCACTGGTACTCTTTAGAGCTCAACATTTTTTACTCTAATTGAAATTTTTGAACTTTCTGGCATTGTTTTCTCCGCAAAATGGTGTGGACCCAGCACCGTTCGGACCATTTCTTAGTATTGTTTCTCATACTTACGCACAGTTTGGACTACGTAACCCGGCCTCGTTCAGAAACTATCAAAATTAATGTACTTGAGTATCGATCAATTCACCCTGACTATGAATTTTGCAAAAAAAAAAAAAAAAAAAAAAAAAAAAAAAAAAAAAAAAAAAAAAAAAAAAAAAAAAAAAAAAAAAAAAAAATGGGCATCTAAGTGTTAAGAGTTTTGCAACATTTGTTGAAAGCATTTTAAGGGATAAAAAACTTGAGCACCTAAATCTTTCAAGAAATTTTGTACACATCCTTAGCTTAAATTTTACCTATCGTACATTTTTCTTAAAAAAATATCCAGAAAAAGAGTTCAATAGAACTAGCAGGAGATAGTCAGAAAAGAATGACCTTAAAGCATAAGTCTTAACAGTGTTTTCAACGATTGTCTTCCTGAAATTGACGAGTTTCCTCAGAGGTTTTTCCTAACAGCCGCTACTATGGGTAGCGTTCCGTTCATCGTCATGACGACACGCAAATAGAAATATCAGACATTTCACTGGAAAAAAAGTCTCTTGGATCTAGCTTCCAGGCTCTTAACTTAAGAAACAATATTTCTTATTCTATCAAATTTTTGCTTGAATCGAGAGCCAAGCCTCTTAATTTAAGCTGATTTACTTTTGACTCAAGCAAAAATTCGATTGAACCACGAGTAGGTATTTTTTCTTGTCAATTTTTTAAGATTGTGGACTCTGGATCTAAGAGACTTATTTTTTTAACATTTTCCTCGTTCTTGAAATATTGACACCAACCTAGAATCCTGTCACGCAGTGCGATTATGTTTCGGCTCAGCAATTGCGAGTCTTCGCCGAGTTCGATTTTGGCTCTTTTGCATGTCTCCGAATTGATCATGTGCGGGTCGGCTAACATTCTGATCAGAGGCTCGTCGTCTAATTCGATGACCATCTTTGGCTCGATTAAGGATTTCTCAATCTCGATACCCATTTTTAGATCTGCAACAAACACACATAAAATTTAGGTGATAATAATTTGGCTATCCGAATTCTGTCCTCATTCAGCGTGGCAAATATGACGCCGAATGAGCCGCTTCTCAGTGAAAATTTCCAATTTTCAATGTTCATTAATAAATGTCTATTCCGATATTGTTTCAATAATACAAAGTGTTTCAATAATGAAAGGAAGGGTTGGATGATTTCTACACAGCTAGCCCAAATTTGTATTGTGCACAAACTAATTGGTACCTTGTTTATTATTATTATGTTCTCGTATCTCAATTCACAGCTCGAGACCGGTAGATATTTAGTCCTCCCCCGGCAATTCAATGCAAAGGAGAGTCCTTAAATTTAAAATTGAAGTTAAAAATTTAAAATTGGGATTAAAACTTTAAAATTGGAGTAAAAAACTTAAAAAACTTAAAATATTATTATAAACTTATTATTATTATGTTTGAGTGATTTGCTTACTTATTGGAATAATTTTACTCTAACCACTTTATGCTGCTCAAATGAGTTGGAGTATAGCTCCAATACATTTTCTTTACAGTACCAATAAGTTTAAGTACAAAATACGAATTTGGTTTAGCTGTGACAAAATGATCCAAACCTTTTTTCCGTACTACTAAAAATGTAAATTTCCTATTACCAAACTCAAACACCGAGTTCTTCAAAGAGAGCACGTAAATTTGGTCTAATTCGTCGAAAATTAATCATACAGCTTTGGAGCTTTTTAACCTCCGTCTCGCAGCCATTATTTGTGAAGGAGGCAGGGGCACCGAATTGATTGTTTGTGAGTGTGTGTGTGTGGAAATATCCTCACGAAAGCCCTGATCATTTACACAACTCACCGTGTAGCGACTACCGAAGCATAGGCTCAGGGTCGAAGGGCGTGAATTAATTGAAAAACGGAGAGGTTAGCGGAACGGAAAACTCAAACCGCGGACCGGCGCAAACCGCAAGGGGAACGCTTTGGTTGCTTCCTTGTGGCGGTCGGTTACGAAAAAGAGTCGAATGACACAAGACCCTTCCCACTCAGATTTGAGTAGGTATTCGTGCCCAACCGTTTACTTTGCAATTACTTATTACATGAGTTCCGAATATGTACCATTACTTCTTTATGCACATATCAAAATAATTCTTTCTAGGTCTCGATATGATACACGATCACATTTCGAACCAATTCTGATCTAAGTGGAGCTGTTAATGACTGATGGTCACCATGCAACACTCCGCTTTGATCAAAATTTGACGGCATGTCCAATTTTGATCAGAATGGAGTGTCGCCATCCATCATTTCCTGCCGCACGAAACATTTCTGCCAAGTTTTCATTTTATAAAAGAGCGAAGCAAGGATTTTAAGACTAACGACTCCCGACACTTTGATGGTAATCGGTTCGGGAATTTGATCGTGTATCGCGAAAGGTGCAATACTATGAATCATATTGCATCGAAGATAGATCTTTGGTGGATAATACACAATTTCTAATTATTGAAGCAGGCAGCCGACATAATTCTGTCTGCTTTGCCACCTTGAGGTTAATGATAGGCCTCTATTTAGTCTTCCCCCTCTTCCCCTCTTCCTCTTATCCACAGAAACGGGTCTGTTACGCGTAAAAGATATTGAAAACTGAATACATTTTCTAAAAGGTAAATTCCCTCGAAAGCCACGTTGGATATGTCAAAAAAGTCTGAAATCTACTCCTTAGCGGGCAATCCACGTGGTTTGTAACACGTTTTTTTTTTCAAATTTACCGCGTATGCGGGCAGTTTTTCTTGGTGCCCGGCAGTCAGATTTTCCCGGTGAGAGACCGTACCTAGATAAATAAACAATCTCGCGAATTATCATAAACTCTCCTTGCGAGAGATTTCAATTGGTTCAAATCTTTTGTTTCAACAAAATAAAGGAAGCAAAAGAAAAACAACACTCGAAAACCATTAAATTAATACAATAGAAAAAGTTAGTGAGATCATTTGTTTACTTAGGGTAGTTTTTATTACTTCTCTGCCTATGCAAACCTGGTCGGCGGTGACTGCGAGAAACTGTCCGGAGACCAGGGAAAATCGAAAAATCGTGTCACAAACTACGCATATTGCGATCTGAGAAATGGATTTCAGACCTTTTCAACGTGCTTAACGTGATTTTTGTGCGATTTTACCTTTACCCGTAGATCGTATGTTTCTTTGGCTTCCTCTTGCGTGCGATGGGCCCACTGCACGTTTACACCTTTATTTGTCATGAAGTGATTAGCATAAATCTTACGGTGCTTCAGCTCACCATCAAGATCCTACAGTCCCTTTAGAACCTTTCACCGTTGGAGCATCCTTAGGGATCCACCGACTTCCGCAACATTGGGTCCTGCAGAACCCTCAACTTCAAACCGGGTCGATTCGCAGATCTGGAGATCTGGACAAACGGATGGGAAAATCCACTTTACAAGTTTCAGACGGCATCATTGTGACGACAGGCTTCGCGCTCCAATAAGGCGGATTTTCGAGTGTTACCTTGAAGCCACTTAGAATGAGTTTAGGATACCCGAAACGTCAGATCAGCTTTCAGAGAGGCTCCTCGTAAATCCTCTCGCTCGGGACGGGTATTGACATAGACTAGGCAACAGCGAAAAGGATGGCACTAGCGGAGAACCCAGGGATTCCTGACCTCACATTTCCCTTTTTAGACTTAAAGTCTCGTGCGGTGCGCGATGCGAGAGTGGGCAGTCGTCTAGAAAATTGGCTTTTGGATCCTCGGATACCCTTCTTCAAGGTCCTCGCCCCGCACCTTTGTCGAGTGCGCTGAGAAGTTGCCGGGAAATTTCAACATTTCAAACCGAAATTTTTCGCTCTCAGTCACGTTTGACGAAGTTTCGTAAAGTTTGACGACCAACAATAAACGAATTTTGACTGCAAATCAATTATTCTGGAGGAAAATAACGCGTAGAACACGATGCGCACTTTAAAAACGCGAAGAAGTAACTCGGAAACCGAGGAATAAGCAATTCAAAATGCCCACCTTTCCCGCAAATTTAATGTGCTGGTTACACGCTCAAATTCCCATCAATTTCCGATCAAATGGTGACTGGTGCGCACCATCTACCATCAAATGTCTGCGGCCTGCAAAAATTTGATGGTAGATGATGGAACTGCGGGGCTCATCCTTCATCTGATTTCCACACAACCGTGCTTATTTCATGCTTATTTCAATCAACACGCTGTTTTAATTAATTTTACTCATCAATCTAGATAACTCTCGACCGCCATCTTGGTTGTCATTTTGATCGGAATTTGACGGAAATTTGAGCATGTAACCGGACCATAAAACGCCCCGGTTTTGCACAGAACCGAATGATGTTATCCGGCACCAATCAGAAAAGAGCACGGGTTTCTACGACTTCCGTCAAATGTCTTCCTACTTCTCGTATGTGACCAAAATAGGGGAGTCGAAACTATATCTTTAGAAACAAAGAATCGAATCTCATTCATTTCATCCGTAGTAAACAAGCAACGATTTCAAAATTAAATACGTTTTAGTTCCTTTCTGGCGCGTTTGAAATTCCCTCAAGAGTTAGGACTTTTTAGAAGCGGGCTTGTCCAGTAGTTTCGCTCCAAAAATAGGTAATACATCACGCCATAATTGACTCACCTGGTGCTTTCAGAATATTAAATGAAAACACAAGGATTTGTGGCCCATTATGGTCAATTTTTTGACTGAAATTAAAACATTTTTTTTAAATAACTCGGGCTATGCTTTAAAGAGAGTATTGGCAACCAGGTAATGAATCGCAGCTTGAAAGCTTTCCTACCTCATCTTATTCGCAGATTTCTTGAGTACGCTCACTTCACCACCTCGTTTTTTTCTTAAATATGAAAAAAGTCTCCTTGCTATAATGTATGTGTGTTTTTGTCGTCTAAACTTTAGTCTATTTTTATTGCGATAAACCAAAACCAGGTACGTGGATCAGCACGTGAAGCTGGCATCGCTAATGAGATTGAATGGAATGAAAATCGCGTCTTATCAGACCTTAAGTTCAATCGGAGGGAAACGACGCGATCCTTGCAAAGCTGAGAGAGGCGCCTCGCCTAACGACCTCAATTTGCCAAAACCTACCGCGTAATGAGAGTCGTCTTTGATAAGTTTTGAGCTGGGGAACAATACCTGGTATTCTGCCGGCTCGAAATATGGAGCGGAGAATATTGCGGTGCAAGAGTGGGTAAGAAATTCGGAAGCCTTGGTACGGATAAAGACTGCACTTAGTGTAAAGTTGAACTCGACGTATGGTGGAAAAAGCTTATTACTACACGAAATAGTGTGAGGTATATTTTATCGCAAGCAAAAAAGACTGGGTGAGGTTGGTAACACCCATTAAACACAACTTAAAGTGTCCTTGCAGAGCACAGCAAAAGCCAAGAATCTCAATAACGAGACTACACTGGGAAAAAAAAACACATTGGATCTAGAGTCCAAACTCTTGAAAACATAGACAAGAAAAAGGACTCTTGATTCAATCAGATTCAAGCTTAAATCAAAAGGAAATCCGCTCAAATTAAGAGGCTTGGTTCTTGATTTAAGCTTAAATCTGATTGAATCAAGAGTATTTTTTCTTGTCGATGTTTTTAAGAGTCTGAACTCTAGATCCAATGTCTTTTTTTCCAGTGCAAAGAAAAATCTGATGATTCGGCAGGCGCACGACACACCAAGCTCTACAACTGAGTACCTTCATTGAATCGGTTCTTGTTAGTCGGGCATAAAACTTAAGCCCGTCTAACAGAAACCGATTCAATTAGGAATGAACTGAGAAGTGTTCACCTTTTTACTAAGATTTATCTATGTAATACATTTTTTGTGTGACTTCCATGTCTTGATTTTGACTGCTCTGAAGGATGTCCGAGGGTTGACCAGACGACCACTCGTTTTTCTTGGAGGTGTCGCGTGGACCCTGCTACTCCGAGAAGTGTCCTAATGAACAGACAACCTGGTCTATATGCCCGCGACAAGCTCTTAT